TTCTCTATCTCGTGTTTTCACTTACACTTTTTCATCTAGACACTCACAGCACTAAATCTCAACAGCAATGGAGTCGGAGACGAAACTGAGCATATAATCTTTGAATTTCTGTAACGCAGTAGAACCGGAGGAGAGTCGTGATCGTGAATCAAAATATTAGATATATTTCGACAACGAGTGCATAGGGAATGATGATGATGTTGCGTATATTTTTATTTTGTTGTAATATTCGGAGAAACAGTAAATAAAAGTACTACTTTCTAAACTTAGTATGTATTCTGATGATAAATTTCAGTTATGTTTTTCGGTAAGTGGTGAGAGGATGATGTCTTAAAAAAGATAAATATGTTTTTTCAGGAATATTTTGCCACTCTGTAGTACATGCAAAACTAGACTGCGGTGGTGTATAGCAATAGTAAAAGTCGAGAGTTGTTTTCAGTTGGAATGAGCCCGAGGCGCCTGAAATTGTTTGTGGGTATGAGTGTGGGCGTTTCTTCTCTATATCTACACACACCCATACCCTCAAGATAAGTCAACAAGAACAATAAGAAAAGTTAAGCATGGCCCTTTTTCTACATATGTTTTATAGGTGAAACTAAAGTTGATGACAGATAATAAGTCATCAGGTTTCTTGCTACATAGATACTTTAAATTCTTGATTCGGATGAATTGGTATATCGAATTATTGTCAACTGTATTTTGAAAGTATATGAACTTTATTTGATTCTAAGATAATTCTGAATGTTTAGAAATTTGTGAAAGTCTTAAAATCGTCCTTTCGATATCAAGCATGGCATCGCATTTCGCAGACGAGTCTTGACTCGTTTGCCATCTAGTTTTCCTAGAAACGCATTTGAAACGTGAATGCATCTCTAATGAAACATTCGAAGCCTCTGAGCGCGTTTGATATAAAATATTAAAATACTTGAAAAGTATATTAGAATCCATCACAGATCCTAACTGAGCCGCCATCATTGATATTTATCGATGATCTTAGTTTTGTTTTGTGAATGAATTGAATTTTATCTTGCGTGATTATGATGATCAAATTTGAATAAATAAATCAGTGATCAGAAACAGTTCACATACATTACTAAGTTAAACTAGCTCAAAATCTTTTCTCGTTCACAATAAAATATATTTGAATGGAAAATTCATTGCTTAAAAACTTGATTTCTCTTGTTTTTTATAATAATTTTATGGTTTTTTTACTACCTGCTAAATACGATTAACAATAAAGAAACTTTTTAATTGAGGTGGTAATACGATAAATAAGTTTATCGAAGAATATAATGAATAAATAATTATTGATAAAATTTTTTATTTATACAGTTTAAACAGTGGTATTTATTAGTTTGTTACAAGGGTTTTGAACATCTGAAAACTATGGCGATATTATCTTATTATTACTCATAAAAACATTAGAGATATAGATTGTATACCTTGTATTTAATTAAATTTTTGTCTGTTTTAATATCATCTGAGCATTCTTTCTTAAGAAGTCTAATAAAGTTTAGACAAATGAAACATATGTAAAAAGACAATTTCGATTACACGGTTTATCCTTCTAGAACAACAATTTCTACAGCAAAATCTAATGTGAAAAGCGAGAAATGAACACATGCGAATGCGCTCAGAAATATGATCGCATCCGAATATGATTGGAAAAAATATGAGACGCATTTAAACGCGTTAAATATGTTTCAGACACGCGTTGCGAGGCAATTCATTTTTGCTAATTGCGCTTCAACTTGCTTTATAGAAACCGTGAGTCAAAACGCGTTTCAAAATTTGTGTTTTAATTGTGTGTCCCCGTGTTTCATATCAAACTACATTTACATGCAGCGTGAAAAATTTTTTAATTGCGTCTCGACGGAATTCTATTTTGTCAACCTGTGTTTCAAAGCATTGATTTTGCATTTGTTGCGTATATGAGTTGTTTTTCATGACAAAATATACAATCACTAACATAAAAGACGTTGTCCGACAATTGAAAAATCGAAATAACAATCTAGATGGATGGTAAAGACACTATTAAGTAAGTCACTTTCGTGATTCTTTCATCTGCAAATTTTGTTAAGCTACTCAAATACAACACATTCATAATACAAATAACAAATTAGATAGTACAAAAAGATTTGCGCCAGTATCTGGTCTTTCCATGAGTTCAATTGCAAATCGACGTATGAACATGCAAAGAATGCAAAATGTCCTTTTAATTTGGTTGGACAACAATATTAATGATAATAATGATGATTGTAGTAACACAATCAAACAATTGAAATGTGTAGTTAGCAACGTAAACACATTTACAGATGGTGAAGAATGTGTTGAATTTATTCAAACAATAACCAACAACAAAATATGTATGATTGTTTCTGGTTCACTTGGACAACATATTGTGCCTCGTGTGCATGATATATCCGAAGTAGACACCATTTTTATTTTCTGTAACAATCAAGAATGGCATAAACAATGGGCCAAAGAATGGCCTAAAATAAAAGGAGTCGTCACAGATATAACACCAATCTGTGAAGCCCTTAAACAAGCTAGTCAACAATGTGAACAAAATGCCATCTCAATCAGCTTTGTGGCACCAAACAAGAAACTGGATCAATTAGATCCATCATTCATGTATACTCAAATCTTGAAAGAGATCTTATTAACCATCGATTTCGAAGACAAACATATTAAAGAATTTATTACTTATTATCGTGAAACATTTGTCGAAAATGACTATGACTTACAAAATATTGAAAAATTGGAACGTGACTATCATGATCAAAAACCTATTTGGTGGTATACTTATCAACATTTTTTATATTCGATGCTTAATCAAGCATTAAGATCAATGGACGTTGATATTATTCTTCGAATGGGTTTCTTTATTAATGATCTGCATCGTGATATTCAAAGAATCCATTCGGAACAATTTGATGATGAACAATCTGATAAAATATTTACAGTTTATCGTGGACAGTGTCTTTCAAAAGAAGATTTTACCGAAATGACAAAAACTAAAGGTGGACTTCTTTCTTTTAATAACTTTTTATCGACCAGTAAAAATCGTGATGTTTCTCTTTTATTTGCACCACAAGCTGCTACAAATCCTGATCTCGTTGGAATTCTATTTGTTATGTCAATTAATCCTACTCATTCAACAACTCCATTTGCTTCTGTTAGTAGTGTTAGCTATTTTCATACAGAAGATGAAGTTCTCTTCTCTATGCATACAGTTTTCCGTATTGGAGATATTAAACCAGTAGATGGAAACAATCATCTGTACCAAGTGAATTTAACATTGACCAGTGACAATGACCAACACCTTCGAAATCTTAGCGATCAAATTCGGAAGGAGACCTTTCCAGATATCGAAGGATGGTACAGATTAGGGTCATTGCTAAATAAAATGGGTCAACTTAATAAGGCTCAAGAAGTTTATGAAGTTTTACTGCATCAAACAACGGATGAAAGTGACAAGGCATCTATTTATATTCAGCTAGGTTCGATCAAACATAATCAAGGGGAGTATCAAAAAGCACTTTCATCTCATGAAAAAGCTCTACTAATTCGACAACAATTACTACCTTCCGATCATTCTAATTTAGCTATGTCCTATAACAACATCGGTAGTGTGTATTATAGCATGGGTGATTATCCAAAAGCATTTTTGTCTCATGAAAAAGCTCTTGCAATTCGACAACAATCACTCCCTTCGAATCATCATCATTTGGGAGATTCCTATGACAACATCGGTAATGTGTATTACAGCATGGGTGATTACCAACAAGCACTTTCTTGTTATGAAAAAGCCCTTGCAATCAAACAAAAATCACTTCCTTTCAATCATCCTGATTTGGGAGATTCCTATAACAGAATCGGCAGCGTGTTTCACAGTATGGGTGACTATCAACAAGCACTTTCTTGTTATGAAAAAGCCGTTGCAATTCGACAACAATCACTTCCTTCCGATCATCCTTATTTGGGAGATTCCTATAACAGGATCGGCAGAGTGTTTTACAGTATGGGTAATTATTCAAAAGCGCTGTCTTGTTATAAAAAAGCCGTCGCAATTCGACAACAATCACTTTCTTCCAATCATCATCATTTGGGAGATGCCTATAACAATATCGGTAATGTGTATTCCAGCATGGGTAATTATCAAAAAGCACTTTCTTATTATAAAAAAGCCCTTCCAATTCGACCACAACCAATTCCTTCCAATCATCCTGATTTGGCAAATACCTATAACAATATTGGTTTGGTGTATTACAACATGGGTGAATATTCAAAAGCACTTTCTTGTTATGAAAAAGCTCTTGCAATTCGACAACGATCACTCCCTTCGAATCATCATCATTTGGGAGATTCCTATAACAACATCGGCAGTGTGTATTACCGCACGGGCGATTATCAAAAAGCACTTTCTTGTTATGAGAAAGCTTTTGAAATTCGACAACAATCACTTCCTTTGAATCATCCTGATTTAGCTATGTCCTATAACAACATCGGTAATGTGTATTACAACATGGGTGATTATCTAAAAGCACTTTCTTATCATGAGAAAGCTCTTGCAATTCGACAACAATCGCTTGCTTCAAATCATCCTGATTTGGGTGCTTCTTATGACAACATTGGTTTGGTGAATGAGAATATGGGCAACTATTCAAAAGCACATTCATTTTATGAACATGCTGTAGAAATTGGACAACAATCATTACCAACAAATCATTCGAATCTTCAACAATGGAGAAAGAACCTTAAAAACATAAAAAAGAAATTATAATTTTTTTCTGTATTTTTTTTAAAAGTAAAAGAAAATTTATGAAAAAAAGGTGTCTCTGTTGAAGTTCTGTGCTTGTTGAGAATACAATATAAACAGTAACACTCACTGATAAGGTGAACAATACATACCGAAAAGATTTATTGTAGAAAAGACCTTCACTGTTACATTATTATGTCTGAACAAGTAGAGTTTCGTTGTGCTTGATAAGAGAGAAAGGTATTCAACAGAAACATAGAAAAGTAGAAGGAAAGAAAAATTTTATTTTACCAATAGAATGAATTATTCTTTCTGTTCCAATATTGAGGATGCGTGTGAGTGTTGCTATTGCATCTATTTTTATCTACATCCTGAAGATGTTGATGACATATCCATTTAAACAAATATCTTATATTTCTCACTTCTTCTTTATCATATGAGGCTTCGTTCAACACTTACAATCCAATTTCATGTAAGTTATTCTTCTTTTATTATAGGGAACGTTCGTAAAGAATTAGAAATGTAAAGATATCTGAAAAGATTATTTACACACATACATATGTATGTGTATTACAGTATCAGTCAGCCTTGTCCATTACGTCTTTATTATTTACAGAGTTGTTCCCTGCAGGCATGCGCGAGTCACTACAAACTAGAACTAATTCAACATAAACGAATAAAACATTCTTTTATTTATTTATCACTTCTTCTTCTTCATTTCTTCTTTTACAATTTCAATTCTCTCTTTCACTTTTTTAATACTGGGATGAGTTGTGGGTAGTGCACGTTGTTTGATGTCCAGAGCCAGTTCATAATATGAAAGTGCTTTCGAGTACTCTTTCATGTTTTTATACAACGAAGCGATGTTGTTGTATGAAATAGCCACATCAGGATGATCTGAAGAAAGGATTTTTTGTTGAATCTCAACTGCTTTTTCATAAAACGAAAGTGCTTTCGAGTACTCTTCCATGTTTTTATACAACGAAGCAATGTTGTTGTATGAAGCAGCCAAGTGAGAATGATTTGAAGGAAGATTCTTTTGTTGAATCTCAAGTGCTTTTTCGTATAATGAAAGTGCTTTCGAGTACTCTCCCATCTTGCTATACACCAGACCGATGTCGTTGAATGAAGTAGCCAAAGAAGGATGATTCGAAGGAAGAGCTTTTTGTCGAATTTCAAGTGCTTTTTCGTGTGATGAAAGTGCTTCCGAGTACTCTCCCAGGTTGTCATACACCATACCGATGTTGTTATATGACTGTGCCAAATCAGGATGATTCGAAGGAAGAGTTTCCCGTTGAATTTCAAGTGCTTTTTCATGAAACGAAAGTGCTTTCGAGTATTCTCCCATGTGGTCATACACCAGACCGATGCTGTTGTATGAAGTAGCCAGCGAAGGATGATTTAAAGAAAGAGTTTTTTGTTGAATTTCAAGTGCTTTTTCGTGAGACGAAAGTGCCTTCGAATAATCTCCCATCTTGTTATACACACTACCGATGTTGTTGTATAAAGTAGCAAAATCAGGATGATTCGAAGGAAGAGTTTTTTTTTGAATATCAAGCGCTTGCTCGTAATATGAGAGTGCTTTCACGTACTCCCCCATGTTGTCATACACACTACCGATGTTGCTATATGAAGTAGCTAAAGAAGGATGATTTAGAGGAAGAGTTTTTTGTTGAATTTCAACTGCTTTTTCATAATATGAAAGTGCTTCCGAGTACTCTCCCATGTGGTCATACACCAGACCGATGTTGTTGAATGAAGTAGCCAAAGAAGGATGATTCGAAGGAAGAGTTTTTTCATGGATTTCAAGTGCTTTTTCGTGTGACGAAAGTGCTTCCGAGTACTCTCCCAGGTTGTCATACACCAAACCGATGTTGTTATATGAAGTAGCCAAATCAGAATGATTTAAAGGGAGAGTTGTTTGATAGAGTTCAAGTGCTTTTTCATGAGATGAAAGTGCTTTCAAATACTCCCCCATGTTGTCATACATTAAACCGATGTTGTTGTATAAAGTAGCCAAATTAGGATGGTCTGAAGGAAGAGTTTGTTCATGAATTTTAAGTCCTTGTTCGTAAGACTGCATAGCCTTTTCATTATCACCTTGATTGAAATGGATAAGTCCGAGCTGATTATAAAAAACCGCTTTTTCACCCTGATCAGATGTCTGTTCGAGTAGTATATTATAAAGCTCTTCAGCTTTATTAAACTGACCAGTTTTAATCAATAGTTTACCTAATCTTTGCCATCCAATAAGACCACCAGCTTCTTCTCGTATCCGATCAGTAAGTGATCGTAGCTGTTTATCATCATCCGATGTTAATTGTAATTCAACTTGATAAACTTGATTCTTATTGTCCATTAGTTTAATTGCACACACTCGAAAGACGGTGCCCATTGAGAAGAGAATTTCTTCTTCTTCCTTAAAATAACTGACCTCTTTGATGGAGGCAAATGGTGTTGATTTCAAAGTCGGATCAATGGACATTATAAAGAGAATGCGTACCTTATTTGATTCTGTTGAAGCATTTTGGGCGAAACTGAGAGATACTTTTTCCTTTGTGCTAGTGGACAAGAAATTGTTAAATGACATAAGTCCACCTATTGTTTTCTGAAGTTTTTCAAAGTC